AAGCAATGATGGGAGTTTAATTTAAAAATAAGGCAATAAATGAAGTAATTTACGAATCTTATGTTAGTCATTTTTCCTCTTTTTCTTTAACTCAGATAATCACGACACCATTTAGATCTTAGTTATTTCCTTAGAAAAATTATAATACGAAGTAATAAGCCAGGTCCAATGACCCAAATGTGGAGATTATTATTTCGATATAATTATTTTGTATTTGGCGTAATTGGATTGTTGGAGTAATAAAAACAATAATTTAGATGAAATTTGATACATAAGGTTGTTAAATTGGTACGACAATGATAAGAAATAATCTTTAATTTTACTCGTTTTATTTGGGAAATAAAGAGAGGGTTATATACTTATATTCGTACTAAGAAAAGGAAAAGGAATGGTAGGTTCTTTTTATGTGGACTCTAATAAACAAAAAGATGATATTATGATGTAGAAATAATAAGACAGTCAAAATAAAGAATGTATAAACAAAATGGGAAAATAACAAAAGTTCAATTGAAGCTAATGTTACCTTCATGAATAATGTAATGCACACACGTCGCAATTAGCCAATTATATGTCCGTTCCAAGATGGAAGATCCAATGCCAAAACCAAATTGTACTCTCACTAGTCATGACTCTATTGTAAAGATAGATTACCACTAAATATTAAAAGGGGCTTAGGGTTATTAAACAAAGGATTAGTAAATAACATCATAATTAGTAACTTAGTGGTGCCACACTGCCACATGCTTAACTAACCCAACAAATAGAATGGATTTAATATTACAAACTCGTACTTCTTTACATATTACGTGCAACAATTACTAAAAACGATTGCTATAACCTACATATTATGTGCAATAATTGTTTTATTTCCTTTGAAAGTTGTTATTACTCTCTATCTTTCTCCTCACTAAGGTAGCCAACGCGCGCAATGTGCGCGTCATAGCTAACCATATCTGGAATTTCTTTCAGTTTGACCTTATATTACAAATTTAGTTACTTGCAGCATAATGAGAGAAAATATATAACAAATATATTTAGGGATATAAATGTCCACACTATTCTTAATAATTAAAAAAAAAAAAAAGGTAATTATTATTAAAGAGGGCAAATAAGTAATTAAAGATTTTAGATGGTATAATTGTCCAAACACTATTTATTAAAAAAACTTGTACATATTAATGAGGGTATATATGTAATTATATATTTTGAAGGGTATAATTGGCATCACACTATTCATAAGAGTAATCTTGTACTCTTTATAGGGTAGAGAATACATGGGCCTTTATCTTCCTTTCTCTATTGAACACTCACAAACTTTTTTTTTTTTTTTTTTTTTTTTTTACAAGAGAACACTCACAAACTTGAAAGTATGCAAATATTTTGATAAATTTATTGAAACATAACCAGAACATCTAAGATGATAAATGTAACACTCTTTTATAAACGGAAGTAGTTTAATTAGATACTCCATACGATGTCAACAAGAAATAAAGAATAAGAGTGAAGTAATGAGGAGGATTACAATATCATAATCTGGTACCTTTGTTTCATTATTAATCATTACTTTCCATGGTTTAGATTAGACTCTAAAAACATATTGTATTCATAATGTGATGTAAATTAGTTGCTCGTCAGTCTCATCAGCAAATCACGACTGGTAAAGAAGCTTGTTTTAAGAAATTGGAGAAGAGTTTTATATAGCTAGGGTTATTTTGGGCAAAGCCTTTTAATTGGGGCATTTGGGCTGCTTTAGTTGGGCCAAAATAATCAATATCACACCACTTAGTTTGGGTTATCAGGTCAGCCTCGAATTGACCCGGCCTACTATTGACTAGGTTACCATTTAATTTTTTGGGATACATGGGTGGTTTTCAGGCTGGAATTTTCAATTATAGTCTAATCCATTTAATTTTAGGTAGGGTTTGTGTTGACCCATTTAATAAATCGGATTGAACCTTCATTATGTTGAATTTTGTAGTGAAAGTGAATCTAGCTACATACATGATGGGAATTTACGAACCCCGATACATCTGGTTAAATTGGTCACTATTATTTTACAGTTTCAATGACTTTTATATGTTCAATGACTATAGTAGTTTCATTTTATTTCTAATATATAAACTTAAGAGCAAATTGGTAGTTGGAAATGATATGGCTTTTGGTCATAGGACTTATTTCAATCCACCAGAGTGTCAAAGCTGTTGTTTGATGTACCTTCATCAAATTTTCTTGTAATCATATCGATGTAAGGGTAATCTTCTAATTAATATATTCTCCTATGTTTGTTTTAAAAAAAAAAAGAGCAAACTGGTGGTCGTCTTATTATTATCTCAAGATCGGATAATGATTGATCCACAACATGGAAAACATAATCTTCAAAATTAGCTGCTTGGATTAGAGTGTTCTCAGCCTTATACCTAGCCTCAAGCTTTACCATCACCACTGATATTAATTTTTCCATGAATAAGAATTTTCCAAACAGAGCGAAACAGAGCCTAAGGATCACATCATTAGGTTTGGGACTACAATCTCGCCATTCAAACAACATTGAATGTTTTCTTCATGCAAGCATGCACTAGATTTGGCTTTCAAGCTTCATACAACAATTGCTCTATAGCGAAACAACTCCACTATATACTCTATTCAGTATGCAACAGACTAAAAAGATGAGAAATAACATAGTATTCACAAACAAAATATACATTGCAGCTTACAATCAATATATTATATACATAGATGTCAGACACAAAGTTTGTTCATCAGATATCAGATGCAGAACATTTGAATATTATAATTATGCATCAGCAAGGTTCATCAGTTCTGTAGTCGACACTCGACAGGCCACAGCTGCAGAACTGCAAGACATATTTAGTACAAATTGATCAACATGAGCTCAGTTCTAGCCATCTTAGGCGGGGATTGGGCAGCCATTATTCCTTAGCGTGCAGTCAAGAGGCCCAAGTGATAATACCATTTTCAGAAGAATGGCCTGACCCGAAGTTATTTTCATGAAATTCAGTTTGTGGTTCAATGCCAGCTGGTCAATGCTTTAAGCTACCTTCTTGATGTGCAGCCCAGCTTGGCTCATGATCATGTAGATTTTAGCCCCATAATTCATCACCCCCACGTCACGAAAAGAAGAATTCCTGGTCTACAGGACCAGAACTCAAGTACAGAATAAAAACTACACCTTCTATCTCAGATAAAATACGAGCTTCGAACAGCAGCAGTTACAGATAAGTACTGTCACTGACATCATATCACATCCACAGATCATACACTTCAAGAGCAGGGTGTGCAATCTTCTGTTACGGAATAGCATTACTAGAGCAGAAATTATAGGAAGAAATAAATATAGATTGATATGGAATTGCATGATATAAATGATTTGACTTACCAACCTTTCTAGTGGCCTTATTATCATATTTCTCTCTTCAAACGTTGCTTGACAAACTAATTATGCAATACCTGCACTTGATTATGAAATGCACGCCCTACACTAATAGTCTGTTTGGTAAGTGATAAATAAAATGGATTTGTATGTAAATGTACGTCTTGTGTCAATGCCCATGGTAATAATACACAATTTTGGAGATGTGGTTGCATTACCATGTACATTAGGTTAATAAATTTCTTGCGATATTACAACATAAACCATTCCAATTTCCACTATTTATTACCACCTGCCAAACAAAATGTAAATAAAAAACAAAAAAATGAACCATAAGATAAATACTTGCATACAAGAGTCTCATTTGACAGAAAGTTGGTTTAAGCAAATGCCAAAGTAAATGACAGGGTACAAAAGTTAAGAGGGGATTGTTTCCTTAGGAGTGATTGGACAATTCAACAGAGTAAGCAGCAAGACAATCATAGACTCAAATAACATAGACTCTGACTCGGCCGAGGAAATGTAGAAAAGACCAACAAAGGATTATAAGTCTGCACCAGACAGTACACAGCTACACACTGGTTTCTTACCTCGCTGTTCTATTTAGAGGAGAAGTAAGAAACCTCTCTGCTCCACCAAGATATCTTATAACCAAACTAGTTCTCAGAAGTCTCAAGATTGGATAATGATCGATGCCTTCAACCAAGAAAACCAAAGCAGTTCTTAGAAGTTTTATGGTTTATAAAACTTTTTTCTTGATCCACAACATGGAAAACATAATCTTCAAAATTAGCTGCTAGGATTAGAGTGTTCTCAGTCTTATTCCTAGCCTCAAGCTTTACCATCACCGCTGATGTTATTAATATTTCCATGATTACGAATTTTCCAAACAATGCGAAACAGAGCCTAAGGATAGAATGTTTTCTTTATGCAAGCATGCACTAGATTGGCTTTCAAGCTTCACACAACAGCATAGAATGTTTTCTTTATGCAAGCATGCACTAGATTTGGCTTTCAAGCTTCACACAACAATTGCATTTCCCCTCTTAACAGTCTAGTACAAATTTATTTATCTGATACAGACCAACATCCATACAGCCGGGAAAAGTACCAAATCAAAGTGAGCAATAAAACAGAAGAACTGAAAAAGTATTCAATCAATGAAGAAGAGAATACTGACATACATTTGTCCTTTCGATTGAGCTAAAAAAATACTGTACCAATTTCTATGCCTAAAGGACTTCCTACATATAGAGGTTCTCATCATAGATAAAGTTGGTTCTTGATTCATATCCAAGTGATTAATAGCATTAGAAAAGAAAAATAGGGAAACATTTTCCTCAGGTGAGATATAGAAATATTCATGACATTAGCAAGTCGGGCAGTATTATATCATTATAGTGAATAAGGAGTACACAATGAGGACTCATAACACCTTTTGTGTGAAAATGACTTATGATTCATAATTGTTATCACGTAAAAGGAAATATTTCCATAACACACAAGCAGCAAGCACTAAAACCATAAAGACAGCTATTATGCCCATTTGTTCTGCACCAGTGCAGACTGCAGAGAGATTAATGCAATAACATGTACAGATAACTGATAGTGAACAATGAAAGTATAATAGGTTCTTCAAGTAAAGAAAGGGAAACTCAATTTACTTTCACACAATGCCTGCTTGTATTGATTTCAAAAGGCACACTCTTATTAATATCAGTTTCCACTATCATTCTACTGAGCTAAAACAATACTGTAACAATTCCTATGCCTAATCAGGGATCATTGGAGACACAAAATCCCGATTTCAATTTGAAACAACAAAAATACATGATAAAAAAACACAAGGCAAGGGAAAAAAAAGCATAGCTCAGTGAAGGGCAGCAGCAATATCAGGGTTACTCTTACGAGCAAGCTTTGACCACTCTGTGTGGTAGGCACCAGGACGATCAACCCTCTCATAGGTATGAGCGCCAAAGTAATCCCTTTGAGCTTGAACAAGGTTAGCTGGAAGCCTGGCACGCCTATAAGTATCAAAGTAAGCAAGACTTGCACACATTCCAGGAGTACTTATACCAGCAGAAACTGCCAAACCCACAACCCTCCTCCAAGCTGCTTGCCTCTGAACCATCTCTTTCGCAAACTCAGGATCAACCACCAGACTAGCTAAGTTGGTGTTCCTCTGATATGCCTGCTTAATTCGGTCCAAGAAAACTGCTCTGATAATACATCCACCTTTCCAAATCCTTGCCAATTCCCCTAAATTCAAATCCCAACCCTTCTCAGCACTCTTTGCCCTCAACAAATTCATCCCTTGAGCATAACTACAGATCTTTGAAGCATACAAAGCTTGCCTCACATCATCAATCAACCTCTTCTTATCAACCCCGGCTCGAACTGCATGAACCTCATCCTTCATCCCTGCAGCTTCCAGTATCTTGGCTGCATTTTCTCTCTCTTCCTTCAGCCCACTTAGGTACCTACAAAGCAACATAGTAGCAATTCAATAAGCAAACAATATCCATTCAGTATATCTGCTAATATTTTCATCATGCACCCACATATATCATAGAAATCAATAAAGACACTCAATTAAAATCCAATGACTGTAATCAAATACATATTCTACCAAACAAAAACATGCACATACACAATACACCCTACTTCGATTTCATTACCAGATACTCCTCCAGGAGATAATCATTACATTATCCCAATCCTTTATAATCCAACATAGGACATAATTTCACAGAGAAAACCATTATACAGACGGGTAATATGATTCTCCATCATTCCATTAACTACATCACTCAATTAACCACGGGTGTCCCTGAAAATCGAATCATGAACCATAATACATGAAGATATCCAAGAATAAGTATGAAGTACACAATTACTGCAAGCATATAGTGTATAATTCATATCATAGCAAAATAAACATATTCATAACACGAAAACGACAATTCAGGTTATACCTGCAATCCAAAGAAGCAGCAATAGTAGGAGCAGCAACAGATAACTCAGCAGCTTGTTGAACAGTCCATTTCCCAGTACCCTTCATCCCAGTCTTATCCAAAATCTTATCAACCAATCCACCTTCCGCTAAATCATCCTTAACCTTGAAGATATCAGCAGTAATCTCAACCAAGAAACTCTCAAGCTCACTATTATTCCACTCATCAAAAATCCCAGCTAATTCATCATTACTCAAACCACCCACATTCTTCAACACATCATACGCTTCCGAAATCAATTGCATATCACCATATTCAATCCCATTATGAACCATCTTGACAAAATTCCCAGAACCACCTTCACCAATGTAAGTAACACAAGGTCCATCATCAACCTGAGCTGCAACCTTCTTCAAGATCCTCTCAACATTCTCATAAGCCGCGTAATCACCACCCGGCATAAGCGAAGGTCCGAAGCGGGCACCGTCCTCACCACCGGAAACACCCATTCCGAGGTAAAGAAGTCCATTAGAATGAGCATCAGAGATACGACGTTCAGTGTTCTGGTACCACTCATTACCACCATCAATAATGGTGTCACCAGGCTCCATGAAAGAGGAGAGAGAGTGGATAGTTTGATCAACGGGTGACCCGGCTTTGACGAGGATGATTATGGATCTGGGTCGTTCAATTGAGAGGACGAAATCGCGAGGAGTGTAATGGCCGAAGAGAGGGAGATCGCCTTCGGATTTAGCGCGGTCGATGGTTTCATCGACTTTGGTGGAGGTGCGATTGTAGACAGAGATAGGGAAGCCTTTCTCGGCGATGTTGAGGGCGAGGTTTTGGCCCATGACGGCGAGACCTGCGAGGCCGATTTGAGAAGCGGCCGCCATTGTTGAAGGGGAGAGAGAAAGTGGGAAGGTTGAATGAGGAAGAAAGGTGAAGGGGAGTTGGTGAGGAGAAGAAGGGATGATATAGAAATGGAGGAGGAGAGAGAAAGTAGGGAAGGGAAGGTAAAAGGACGGACTCGTCGAGGGAGTAAAGGGACAGTGACCTTCCAAGAGAGCGGAGATAGGTGGAGGGTTGAAGGTAGGATTGTGTAGGAGGCTAATTGGTTGTTTAATTAAAATATTAACCCTACTCTACTATTGCTTAATTATTGTAAGTACTCGTAATCCATTACGGAGTATCCAACACATCTACGAGAGTGAATCTCGCTATAAGTTAGATTGCTAATGTAGTAACTGCACATTTATCGAGATGCAAATCGCGTAGCGGCATAGCAGATTACATTGCTAAGGTAGGTTATTTAATACTCCGTATTCGGTACTATGGACATTGATGTGTTGTAATACTCCGTAACTCTAGTTTGTTTATAACACTTCTTTCTGATACATTAGGAAGTCTAAGCACTACCAGCCTACAACAAAACTAGTTTTTGGTTTGAACGATACTTAAGGTTCTTATATCGAAGTTTGTAGATGACAACTATGCTCGACTTTGATTTCAAGGTGTTAAGTTAGTAGCTCAAGTTCGACTAATAAATCGTGAGATAATATGTTATGTGAAATTATAAAGATTAATTGAATTCTTGACAAATATTACGTACATTCCACCAATGAGTATTTCACATAGCCTAAACCAAGAGCCCTAAAGTCATAAGTTGTGAATGCGGCTTAAGACCTTCAACATGGGAGGTGCATCCACAAGCATAGTTGCAGGCACAACTTGCATCATGGGCTCTCTATCTCAGTAAAACGCCAAAGCTAAGAGAGGGAAAGAGTAATACGTTATGTTTAATCAATACAATAATTTAATGTCAATTTGCAAATCATGGATCAACTCACAGTCTCACAATCACCCATTTTATTAAATCAGCTACATAGCCTCCATCTTTTGTCCTTTCCTTTCATTTTCAATACACTTTTGGTACACTTTTGCAACTATCTTTTAATTAATTGACCCAAAAAAAATATCAACAGCATCAGCTGTTTCCAAAAACAATATCTGAATATGTACTCCGTACTAGTTTTTAGCTTTTAAATTTTGATTTTTTATTTTTTTGGCGCAAATAAGGACAATTTACCAAGAATCATGATTTGGTGTTGAAAAATACTACGTATTAATTCCTCAAAAAAAAAAAAAAATACTTCGTATTAACAAATAGTTTTGTACTGTACATTGCAATATCTATGTTCTCTTTTTGACTCAAATATACTCTTGGCCCTTTTCTGAAGGAATTTGATCAGCTAGCCCAAACATCGATGTGTTAATGGTATTTCTTTCTGCTTGCTTACAGCGTAAAAGATTCGGAGTACTGTATAAAATTAGCATCTGTACAAATGCCTATTTAAAAAAGCTCAAACCAATGCAATAGATAACTCGAGTTATCCTAACAATCAATCAAGTAACAGTCACTTTAGACTTGGAACACACGCAAAACAGGAAAATACTAACTTCCCACACATCATGAAGTAACTGCATCTGTGAAATTTTATACTACTAGCAGTCTCGTACAGTACAGTACAGTACACCAGCGAACTACAAAGTATATCTTATTGCCAACCCATAAATAAACACAGAACAGCTCGGGAAAACAGGAGCATATGCTCAAAGCCCATAATAAAAGATGGCCTAATACCTGATAATTAACAACTCAATGTTCCACATTTCCATTCATTGCTTAAGACTATCCGAAATTACACAAGCTAATGAAGGAACACAGCTTTTATCTGAAGCTGTCATTTATTTGATCCAATGACCATAAGCAAGAAAAATAAGGAATTCGATGTCTGATTTAATGTATGATGAACAATACATAAAACACTCATGTACTTACTAATCAACTTAGTCACTCGAATGGATAAATAGAATTTGTACTAGTCTCACAGCGATAAACAAATGGCTGATTGTGGTCAATGACCATATATCCAAAATCTTAACGGCCTCGGTGACAAGGAACGCACGAGTTTCTCCTGACCACAGCTCATTATGCAGCAGCAACCTCAAAGAGATGCTTGCGGATCTGCATTAAATTATAAGATTTATTAGAAGATTTCTTATAGAAGGCCGAAAAACTTAAACATCATACCACCAAAAATAAATTAAATTAAATTCATCATCCCAACAGGAACATTAAGGACCTAAGAGTAGCAACTCAGAATCTGTACAAACAAAAGGGTGCAGCCCCAAGGCATCATCACACATGAGAGGAAACGCAGGAAAAGGGTGCAGACCGAGGGAGCAGGTGAAATAGAGCAGCAGCAACACAACATTTTCAGTGAGCAGCCACCACTCAACAAATGACTGCAAGGGGGGTTGGTGGGAATATTTGTGACTGATCTTTTGGCCTTTTATGTAACCTAGCGGGCTCTTTTTAATTGTTGTTTTTTGGACTGATGTACATATAAAAAGTGAGAGAGGGCAATTGCTGAGGTAGCTAGAATATGGTATTTGCATTTGGAGAGTTGTGACCTGAAGTCACTTAGAGAGTGGTGAGCCTACAGCCACCATTGTAAGAAACTTCCTTATTTTTCATATTAATCAAGAAGCGGTCCTACTTCCCTCAAACTTATTTCCTCTTTAACAAGTTTTGTGCTTTTTATTTTGAGTCCAAAGTGAATCAGATAAATAAACCAGGCCAGATACAATATTACAGCACACAGCATAGTCACTATTAGTGACAAATACACCGATACAACCTGTCAATTTAACCCTCTAAATATTTCACCTAGCCAACCCCGCCCCCCCCCCCCCAAACTTAATAAAAGAGAAAAAAAACAGAACCAACTTTTCTTTCTAAAATCTACTCTCTTTGCAAAGAATTAATAGTCAGAGTAATATGATTAACTTTCTTAATACACCCTTATTAAAATTAAGGATGGGATATGAAAAATATAACACAACTATTATCAGGGGTATTTTTCTTGTATAAACATGTCACATTCTTAATTTTAAAAGGTTGCAACTATGCGACAAACAATTCAGGGCAGAGGATGAAGTTTCCCAGTTGTGCTGATTATGTATCAGATCCACCGTGAAAATACACAGTGTAGCTTCACAGGTTAAGGAACTGTTTACTAAGGTTAGGAATTGAAGAGTTCTATAAACACAAAACATTACAAAGGAGAGTGAAAGCACAAATCACCTGAGGAAGCTTCTTCCGATATGCAACATCCAATCTTGCATCAAGAGTGTTTTCACACACAATTTTTCCATCCCGAGAAGCCAGCACAACACCTCCAAAGCTAGAAGCAACAGGGATTACAATCACACCATTAGCACACCACTTGTACAATGTTCAATACAAAATTTAACATCTTGAATAGCAGTTCTTAAAACTTAATAATTTAACTCAAAAATCCTTCATTGACATTTAAGCAACAAACCAACTACTACTTAAGACAGCCTACAAATTCAAAATTAAGAAAGAACATCTTACACAGCCAGCTAAATTAATTTAGTCCATCCAAGAGCTAATACACTAACAAGGTAACTTACCAATTAAGACCATGTTCCTTCTGTTGACCAGGGCCAGGAGGAAGATGAATAGTGTCAACAACTATCTCAGGGACATGTACATCAGCTTTCTCAGCATATTCTTGTTTAGCTGAATTGATAATATGCTCCACCAGGTGCACATCATCCTTTCGGCAACGCAATAAGACAGCAGGTTCTTTCAACCTAAGCAAACTCTGTCAACAAAGGAAAAAAACAAAATTTCATGGGGGTATATTAATCCCAATTTCACACTATTTCATTAAAAGAAATAAAAATTATAAATATGGCTGAATAAACAAGAGACAATCTCTTTGCACTGTCAAAGTAACACAATATCTACTGTATAATCAAGAAGCCATCAGGAGATATAATCATATAAGAAGAGATATCTTATTTACAGGTCAACTAATCACTTTAGACAAGGTATCCCCCCCCCCCCCCACACACACACACACACCCAAAAAAAAAAAAAAAAAAAAAAAAAAAAAAAAAAAAAAAAAAATTGAATTGAACGACGAGGCTAGAAAGAGCAAAATATCAACTAACCTGAACAACGAGCTCTTTCAAAAGCTGCCTGTAATGATGATGGTCTCCACTGACACGCAGTAGCTCTTTGGCTGCTGCTTCTTTCATGGAATTAACTAAATCATCCTGAGCTTGAAGGACTTTGATCCGAGATGCATTGAGCTGCATAGAGTACTCTCTGCCAAAAGAAGCAGATCAAAACGTGTCAATGGATTATTATTTCCCAAAATTACAGAAGTTCTAATAAAAGAGTTTACTTTAACTACTAACACCATCCCACAAAGAGCACAATACATTTCAATCTTGCCTTTTCTATGATACTTTATATTACTTCTCACAATCTCACTATATCCCTACACTTTCTCACTATATCCCTACACTTTCTCTCTATATCTACTTTTCTTATTTTTTGTGCCAAAGGCAAGTGAAATTGTATTGGGGCAAGATGAAATCATATAATAGATCCCCTCAATCGAGATCTTCTATTCAAGAAACTTACTGTTGCTTGATGTTATGACTAGTTGGAGGTTTTGAAGCAAAATTAAATTTGTGATGGAAGGAACACAACTTTTAAGGCACACACTTTAGCGCTTAGAGAATAAGCAGATCTTTTACTAGTGGAGATTTGTAGGACCTAATTGAAGTAGTATTATCTTTCATATGTGTAACATGTCCTTTTAGCCTCTCAATTGATTGACAAAATCTGATTTTAATAATAATTAAAAGTAATAAAAAGTACAAGTAACATAAACGAATACACAACAGGACAGCACAAACACTGATGTACAACTTGAATAAATGAGCAAAAATGAGTCCTGCATCATGTTTATCACAGAAAACATATCCTGGGAAATTGGAGATAACACCTTAAACTAGGAATCCACAGATGAAGCACCAAGCAAATCACATGAATCCACAACATGATTTCTACCCGTTTGTCAAACCACCAAACTTAAATAATGGCAAGAAATCAAACAAAAGTTCTCGTCAAAATCTTATCCAGTCATACAAATCTTGGCCTCAAAAACGCAATGGATCTCCAACTCCAGACCAAAGAAGGATAAAATGGAATTCTAGAGGCCATAAATGGACAGCTTCACAAAAACAATTTGAGCGTATAAAGAAAATTGTGTCTTTCCAGATAAATAATATAAATCAACTTGGCCTTAATCACGTCTATTTAAAGGGAAATAGGTACATTTGAAATTACGCAGTGATGCAAAGATTACAATCAAAAGACAATACATATACGAGATACGAAGTATAACATTAGGCAAACGGCAATTTCAACCACAATTTGACGTTCAGCCCTATGACCTTGACATAATTCAATAATTCTCAAATCAACGTTATCAATTAATCTGGATCATAAATCTATAAATAAGTAATCAAATCGTAAATCAAATTCAACCAGATCAACAATAGCATAACATATCATACGGAGTAAATAAGTAATCAAAGCCGAAATCAAATTCAACCAGATCAATCATCAATAGCATAACATAAACTGCATTCATTCCTAACCAATAGCCAAATCATGCATTCACAGCCATTAGTCATTACATTAAACTTCCACAACAAACCAAGTAAAGTATCAATCATAGTCAATGCTCTCAATCACATCGTAGAAATCAAAGTTCAGCGACAGAATAATCACAATTCACAGTAATCAACATGAAATTAAGCAACGAAGTAAGCAGCAATTCAATCAATAAACAGCAGATAAATTACATTTTCCTGCGAACTTCAACTTGCTTCTCCTTACGCTCATACTCCTGCCTGATCTTCTTCTTCTCCGCTTCAACTAACTGCAATTTCTCAATGTTGAACTCCTACAAACCAAAAAAAAAAAAAAAAAAAAATATCAATCAATTTCTCTCTCCAATCAAAATCGAACCAAAATCAACCAAAATTTCAACTCAAACAAAAAATTCTTCAATTAAACTTCAAAATCAACAAAAAAAATTCAAACGAAAATCAATCGAATCGCTTACTTCTTCAGCAGCAACGGAGATCTCGTTAGCCTTTTCCTCCGCTTCTTGGCGGATGAATCTAACCATCTGCTGGATCTGCTTCTGGACATCGGTGTCATTCATCTTCGGATCTGTTGAAATTTTCTCTCTCCTCCTCTGATTGGTTGAAGATGATAGGGCAAGAGGAAGACGAAGATCAGTTCTTCAAAGTGTCGATGAATGAATGAAACCGTGAGACTTTAATTATTGGGGGAGAGTTTGTGAGTCGGACAAATAGTGGTGATAAGAAAATTTGGAAAGAGATCACAAAATAAGGGTTAATTTTACATTAATGTGTGAGCTGGCAAATTAGGGAATATTCACGAGGTTGTTGTTCTTTACTACTGTTGTCATCTGATAGGCGGTTAAATATACGGCGGTTAAAATATAAAGGATCTCACATGAACTTACTCTTCGCCTACAATTTTTACTATATAATCGGTTGTATTTTATATGAGTAGCGGATAGTTAAGATATTTTTGTTTATCTACACAGTATGTGTTTGCTTGTACAAGCATATATATGGGCAATTCAATAATCTTGACTATATCATCTATGGCATACAAGCTAATTGTAATTGGTTGCACACTAAAAAACATGTGTTTGATTTGAAAATATGAACTACATATTACCGAGTAGTTTTTAAACTCGTATATTGTATCAAGTGTTTTATAATGTAATGCTTGAGATTTGTAATTAAGGTTTGACTCATCGAATCACGTACTCTTCATTTTATTTTTTCATGCTATTGTGATGTTTTATCAAATATTTATTATCTCATATTGTTGAAGAAGTAAGAAACTTAATCACACAAATTGTCTTATTCCAAAACTTTTGCTATTTTTTTGTATTTGATTTTTGATAGGATATTGTTTATAGTATTTAGTGAAATGAATTACAAAGTACTTTTTGTGACAACAAATTATAGAATTTAAGCAATCAAACAATTGTACATTTGATATCCAAATCGATTTTAGTGCACGCTATGACTATTATACACCTCTCTAAGACATTCACTGAAGCTTTAAATCAAATCAATAAAACTTCTTTTGGAAAGAGTCATCATAAAAAGAAAGGCACTCTCATCATGATAATGTGGCACAAAATATTTCAGCCTAGCAAAGAGTCAAGCTTGCTTAGGTTTGTGAATGACAAAAGTGGTTTACTCTCTTAGGCGAATTTTGGGTTTGGGACTTTGGGCTACAATATTTGCATTGCTATATAATTCCAATATACTTAAATAAATGTGTAAACCCTAAGCAAAAGACCCCTTGATCTAAAGAAAGTATTCTTTAAGTTCGATATCCCCTTCCAAGGGGCTTAGATGAAAGATAAGTTCATGACCAAATATAATTTCTGGCCGAATCAAAATTTGTGTAGGTAAATGTATGCAACCACCGTTGCTCAATCTTATTTGTACATTTTAAAACTTAAAGTTTACCAATTTTTTTACACTTTAAATAGAATAACTAAAAAAAAATAAAAAAAATTGCGAGGTATGTTCACACATTTACACACTTACATATGCATAATTATACAAATTAAATAGAGTTGATGGTAATATATATGTGAAGTTGACAAATCTCTATTTTACTTTTTTTTAACATAAAAATACTAAAATATATTAATGCATCCGATGTGGAAATGGTAGCTTTGGCTCGATGGATGGAAGCTCAGAACCTTTCTTTTTCTCTTTCTCGGCATCACTTGCTTTAGCTTTAACATCATTCGAGGTGGGAACATCATCCAATGCCTTCTCCACAACCTCACTCTTCTCCTTCTCAAGATTCGCATCATCAATAGGCATTTGGGGCCCTTCATAGCTAACCCACTACGAGTAGTGATAGCATTGGCGGTCTCCTTAGGGACGGGTTGTCCCGGTAAATGGCCAGGTTGCCTTTGGATGTTGGTACCTGCTACTTGTGCGAGTTGGTTCTCCAAATGCTTTGTCGTGTTTTTCAACTCCTTGATTCTATCTTCAATGCTTTGCTTCATGGATGCCATCATTCTCATGAGGTCAAAGATAGTAGGCTCTTGAGTGCTAGCATTGCCTTGAGAAGGTTGTTGTTGAGGTGGCCTATTGAATCCTAAAGGAGCATGATAAGAGGCTCCTTGTTGATTGAGTGGAGGCCTTGCAACATATTGCTGAGGTTGAGAGTTCTAAGGCTGTGACCACTGCTGCTGTGGTTGAGGATTTTGAACATTGTTGCTTCGATAGGAAAGGTAAGGATGATTCCTCAAACCTGGATTGTATGTGTTAGAATATGGGTCATTTGGTTGCCTTTGTTGAAAGGCATTCACTTGCTCCATCTGATCAGTGTCTTGAGAATTTTGAGCACATTGATATCTAAAGTGACCTTGTATACTACACAATTCACAAAAAAATTAGTTTGCAGAGGTTGAGAAGACATAGCATTAACAGATACAAGAGAGGAGTCTTTAGTGCCCTGTAATGCATCAATCTTTGCAGTTAATTGAGCCATATGAGATGTCAAGATTGAATAGGCTTCAACTTCCATCTTCCCTTTCTTAGCTCGCGTCCTTGGAGATGAGAAGTGGTTGGCTGCAAGATTTGCAAGAAAATCATACCCTTCCTTGATCGTTTTGTCAAGGAACACACCACTTGCAGTAGAGTCAACAATACATTTGGTCTCGGGTTCCATTTCGTTATAGAAAATACGAACAAGATTCCACTTCTCAAAATTGTGATGCGGGAATGATTGTTGAAGATCTAGGAATCTATCCATGCTTCCCTAAGAGATTCCCCCGACTCTTGAGAAAATGTTGATATTTGGTGTCGAATCTTTTCAGTTTTTTCAGGGGGAAAATACTCTTTGAGGAATGCTTGAGAAATCTTGCTCCACTCCATGTCCTTGACAGTATTCAACCACTTTTGATCTCTATCGCGAAGGGAAAATCCGAACAACATCACTTTCAATTGATCTTGAGTGACTCCTTTGTGATGAACAGTGGAGCATAATTGTTGAAATCGCTGCACATGATTAATTAGCTCGTCCATAGGATGGCCACTAAACTGATTTTGTTGGACCATACTGAGCAATGCGGGTTTAATTTCAAAGTTCGCTGCAGTGATTTCTAGCATTTTGAGACCCGTTGGAATGCTATCTTGGGATGGTACCCCGAAAGAATTAAGAGACCTATTATCAGCCATCTCTCGTTGTATGTCAGACTTTGTGGTAGGACTCTTCTGCGAGTGGGTCTTTTTCTGGTTTCCTTTCCCTTGATTCTTGATTTTCCTAAGGGTCTTGTCCAAGTCTGGATCCGTAGGGATCAAGTCACCTGTTCGTTTTGACTTGAGCATAAACAAAAAGAAAAGAAAACAATGAGAATGCCCCAATTGGAACTGAAAGTTCTAATGAGACAATGGAAACAGTTCAAACAATCAAACTAAAACTAATAGAATCTAGCCGTCTCCTCGGCAACGGCGCCAAAAACTTGATGAGGTAAAAGTTATACCGCAAGTGCACGGTGTCTGTTGTTAGCAAAGACTTAGCAAATATGGGTCGAATCCCACAGGGAGACAGGTTCTATTAGGTTTTGCCCATTTATTATAAACTATTTCAATAAACGAAGAGTGATTTGATATCAATCAATTAAACTAGGACAATAATGAAAATAAGGTTGTTCTCAAATAAATAAAGGTCTAGGGCATACGTTCGGTCCACCATGCTTATACCAATCCAAGAAATGCAAACAATTCATTAAATAAATAAACTAGGAAGAATAATTAAAGCACATGTTAATCCTACGGTCGGGAATTAACGCTTACGAATTAACATATGTAGCTCGATCGGTCGCTAACATAATCAAATTCGCCAATTGTAATTAAGCTTCTAAAAATGTGATCTGTCAATTCTAATTTTTATTAGCTAAATAATCAATTCATGATATTGACCAATTACATGAATCAAACAATAAAGCACAAATCAATAGGAATCATTCAAACCCTAATTCATAAATTTATAAATAATTAAGCACAAATAATCAAGGTATAAACATGGCTTCCCTTACTTAGCTCTAAAAGACGACTACTCACTCATAATTGAAATAAACAAAACAAAAGGAATAAATAAACTTGAATTCATAACTAATAAAATAAAAGACGAAAGATTGAATGAAAAACCTCAAATATCGAATTAATGAAGAACAATAATCTAGGGTTCAACAATGGAGAAGAAAACTAAAAGAACGTTCAAGCATAAAATAAAGCATAAGAGAAGAAAATAAAATCCTCTCAAGTATTTATATTAAAGCCTAATTCTAAATAAGTAAATAAAATAAGGAAATAAAAAATAACAAAGGTCGTCATGTGATTGGTCGCTTGGAGAATCAAAATCAGTGGAAGACGAATGGTATGATTTCCGCACGCCAAACCCATCGCCCGATGGGTGGACACTAGTCGAGTGATCAAGGGCTGCGACGAGGTCGACGTTCGACCATCGCCCGATGGTTTTCCAGCGGACCAGGCAGATTCGAAGGGTCGTGTGTGCAGCAGCTCCATCGCCTGATGGCTGGGCGCTTGATTGGCAGATTTGCAGGACTGACTTTGAGTGGCTGTAACTTACGATCTAGGAATTGTATGAAGGCGTGCGACCTATCATTGGAAAGCTCTTCATGTCTAGTTTCCAACCCAACTTGAATCACCTCAATCCGATCTGTAGAACTCTAGTTGTGGCTGAAACAGTGCACAAGTGTCCTTTTTCGCCTCGTCGTTGATTAGTGTTTTGCTTCGTTTTCACTCAAATTCAATCTAGATTGGCACATAGTGACCTCTTGAGGATGCTATGTCCATTGTCCATGTACACACTAATCAAAACCGACGTCTACGAGCATAGAATCTGCTATCAACAACTTAATCCATCGGCTTCCGTCCAACTATCATCCAAATCAACTCTACATCCTTCAAAAGTGTCCAAATGACTATGAAATCACCTGAAACATTAAGAAATACACAAACGGAGCGTAATAGAGCGATAAAGGATGACCTATGCAAATATGACCCTAGAATCGACCAAAAAGACTAAGAAAAAGGTATAAAAACTAGCATGAACGCGCCTAAGAATGTTATATAAATAAGATTCATTAATAGTAGGCATGGTTTTCAATGTTGTTCGAGAGTTGCAATGCAATTTTTTGTTAGGAAAATTCGAATTTAAGGAATTATATTTCATACATATGTTCGTTATTAAATTTTTTCCCCCTATTTTCACTTTTAAAGGCGCGACATACATAATTTGATCAACCCTCCCATTAAAAAAATTACAAATAAATATAATACGTGCATCGCACGAATTGAATACTAGTTATTTATTAAAAAGTCCAACATGCAGTCAATATAACTAACCCAATTAAATCGATCATGGTTCTAGCCAATTTTTCGTATGGGTTACTGTTACTCCAAACAAAGTTCCCATATACAACTCGTTTAGCAACCAAAATCATGTTCAATACAAGAAAGGTCTCAATTCATGGTAATCAATATAAATACGCTTCAAGAAATCCACGCCAAACATAGTTCATCAAAACAATTGATTCGTTCGATTTGTATTACTTCCAACACGCTCATTGATCCTAATATGAAGTGAGACAGAAAATGATAATCGAAACCACCAAACCAACTCTAATAACTACTCCACAACAACAAAAAAAAAAAAAACAAAAAAAAGGTTTTTGGCAACATTCAAATAAGAGTAGTAAAATGAACTCCAAGAAGTCAGTTGAAGTTGTTGCTGACAACAGAAGTACAAAAGTAACCCTCCCTCAAAGAAAAAAAAAGTTGAAAACATCCACGATCCATCACTATCTTCCATTTCTCCAATTCCACCATACTCAACTCAAATCTTCTACTCAACACATTCAATTTTCAATTCTCCAGAAATTCAATTCAATCGATAAACCCTAGAAAACCCAGAATTCAAACATTCTGCAAATCAAACCAATACTAAAAAAATAAATAATTCAATGCCAAGTCGGGAATCAAGTCACCGGCTTGCTGGTTCACCAATTAGGTCTCGAATTTCATCTCTTATGCTTGCTATGTTCGCTACAATGGCTTCCCTTTACGTCGCTGGCCGGTATTAATCTACATTTTTTAATTACAGTTTTTATTTTTAGTTTTTTTGTTTGTGATTTTCAGTGATCTTAAATTCATTCATAATGTCCTTAAATTTTTTTTATTGGATTTTGATTTTTGTACTTCTTTTTTAAATTGGTAGATTGTGGCAAGATGCGGAGAATCGAGTTTATATGATTAAGGAGATTGATAAGAGGACGGATAAGGTATATTCTGATAATCTGTTACGGTTTTTGTTCCATTTATTTGACAATTTTGCAAATGTGTGTTATGTTTTGATCTACAACGTTATTTTTTGATTATTTTGGTTAAATTTTACTTGTGTTTCTTTTAAACAATTGTTGTGAAAAGGTGTTAGTGTTGTTTTAGGAAGATAAAATTGTTTGTGAATTGTGAGCGTCAATTCAGTGTCTTCTAGGAAGATTTTTATGATATGAGTACGGCCCTGTTCTCTTCAGCTTATGAATAACGAGAGAAATCCGTCATGATCAGCTTCTATGGCTTTTTGAACTTATTTTATCCAAACTTAACTTATTTTGTTTGAAAATGTTTTATTTGTGTGTGAAATTATCTGAAAATGAAATTTATCTTCTCTAATTAGTTTATTTTGTATGACTTACCTGAACTAATTATTTTCTGAAACAAGTTAGAATAAGCTGAACTTAATAAGGCCTAAGATTAAGATTAGGGCTCTATTATTTGAATGATATTATACGACCGTATTTTGTCTGATTAAAAATTAGTTTGTTTGGAAAGAAATCCTTGTATGCATAAATTGTCTAAAAATTTGTCTGACTGCTAAAAACCTTTTTTTTCTTCCTCTGATCTTATCGTAAGCTATCTGACAAGTCAAAATAAGTCAAACACATTATGGCCCAAGTGAGGTAGAAATTTCATGACCTAAGTTGAATTTTGTGATTAGTGGTATAAAGGATGTAAGTACGACATAGAGCTTGAGTGTAAAGGATTGAGGAAGTGGTTCAAAATTTGGGATTTGTTTGAATTGTGTTGTGTCATGGTGTTTACTGACTGTTATTTTTGTTTTGATTCATGTATAAAGTTTGAGTCCTTTATATTTCACTTTACATATGATTTATTTAAGCTTAATTAGGAAAATTGTGTAAAACTATACTTTGTGCAAAGAAATTTGACAACAAATTTTCACTCCCAGGGGCAGACAGCTATATCTGTTGATGACACTTTGAAAATAATAGCTTGCCGGTAAGTTATTTACTCTTTTGCTCTGTTGGGGCTGGGGGGTTGCATGTGTTGGTTTTTGAAATCTTATTATGATTTCATTGTGTAATTTTGAAATAATATCTTGCTGGTAAGTTGTCTACAGTGTTTTTGAAATCTTATTGTGATGTCAATTTATAATTTTTCACAGGGAACAGGAAAAGAAACTGTCAGCCCTCGAGATGGAACTAGCTGCTGCTAAAAAAGGAGGGTTTGTTTCAAAATACTCTACAGGGAATGATGCTACTGCTAAAAAGAAGAAGCTTTTAGCTGTTATAGGAATTGCTACACAATTTGGTCGGAGGAGGAACAGAAATGCTATACGAAAAGCATGGATGTCTGCTGGTAATGGATTTGTTTTCTGTAATCTACACTATGAAAGTTTGATGTAGCGGTTCACTTTATATTTTTCCAAAAGGAAGGTGTAATTTGTAGTTACATCTGTGCAGGAGCTGCATTGAAAAAGCTAGAGAATGAGAAGGGCATTGTTCCAAGATTTGTGATTGGAAGAAGGTCTATGTTCTGTTGGTTTGAATTTATGTTAAACTCTTTCCTGCTTCCTTAAACTTCGATTGAAAATAAGCAATCTTGCAGTGCAAACCGTGGAGACAGTTTGGACAGAGATATTGATGTGGAAAGCAGGCAGACCAACGATTTCATTATTCTTGTATGTTGGATATCTGCTATCTTTTGTTATCCTAATCTTGTCTAACATGGATACCTAGCTTGTTCAATCATGAGATGTGTCCCTGTAGGAATGCAGGATCTTGTTTGTAGTCTTTGTACTGGTTAGCTGCAGACTGAGAGTTAGCGTACTACCTTGAAGTGTGAAATGCTGCGATGCTCATTTTCTTTTACATTGTGGCTGGTGTTAAGCTACTGTTGCTGTGAATAAATTCATCCGTTATATTTGCATAAGATTAGAAACGTTTGTACACCTTCTAACATGTACTTGTATGTGATTAGCATAAAGTAATCAGCTTATTATTTTAATTATTTTTGTACCAACTTCAGGACGATCATGTAGAGGTGCCAGAGGAAATTTCTAAGAAGACAAAATTGTTTTTTGCTCATGCTGCTGAAACATGGGAGGCTGAGTTCTATGTCAAGGTCAATGATGATGTTTATGTTAAAATAGGTTTGTATATCCAACTGATTCTTGACTGGCATGTAAATACAAGTAGATTGGCACACATGCGCACTCACCTTTTTTAATCAAGAGAAATCAATCCCTAAGTTGCATGCATTGTCGTGCAGATGGCCTCGCTGCAATTCTTTCTGCAAATTTGGATAAACCTCGTATTTATATTGGGTGCATGAAGTCAGGAGAAGTTTTCTCTGAGCCGTAAGTGCAGTCCTTACTTTGAAACTTGAGAAGTTATATTTTATTGTCATTGCATTACGTAAATTATATATTTTTGAAACACATTACCTATGAATTTCCAGGGGTAATAAATGGTATGAACCAGATTGGTGGAAATTTGGCGATGGGAAATCGTAAGTTAATCTACCTTTTAGCTTGCTACCCCCCCCCCCTCATGTTTCTGAAATTATGTGTATAATTTCAGTAAATCTGTGGTTGTTGCTTGCTCTGTGCTTAAATTACCCGTGGTGTCAAGTGTATAATTATGAAGAAAAGGATTTAAGCACAGATTATTTATACGGGAAACATTGTAAGTATTTTACATACAGAGTATGAAATATTCATTTTCTACATATTGAGATACATCTAAATCCCCTTATGTCCCAGGAACAAGAGCTTTTAATGTTGATGTTGCTGTTTTTTCTTTGACTACTTTTGTTCTGGTCTTTTAGAATGTTTCCTTAATTTTACTGAGAGGTTCCAATGATTGAAGGTATGGAATTTTAATTTTTTTTTTTTTTTTTTTTTTTTTTTTTTTTTTTTTTTTTTTTAAAAAAAAAAAAAAATTTTTTTTTAGGAATGTGGCAAAATTCACCAACTGCTTGGATAACTTAGAGCTTAAACATAGTGATTAGTGGCAAAGCAATTTCCTGTTTGCAATATTCTAATTTTAAAGTCTGCGCGTGCACATCCACATCCACTATCAGAGAAATTAAATATAAAGATGTTAATGTTACAAGGTACACCCTATGATGTGATGCAAACTGGTAACATAAGTATGTGTTGCATGGGGGCGTGTGGGGTATTATGTTTGTACATGTAAATTTACTCTCATTAAGATTTTCTGCTAGATCGTCAAAAGGGAGGAAATATATATTGAAATGAGATGGATTGAGATGCAAAGAGACAAAAGGTGGCTTAGATAACGTGCCCTGGGTGCTTGAAATTAGCATAGTACCTAAATTATTGAAGACGCCCCACTCCTTCTGCATTCCTCATAACTTTACCTAATCTCCATTCCTTAAGTTTTACCAACAATTTGTTGAGTGAAATTAAGTTAAGATATCAGTACTATGAACCAAGAACTAACAAATTAATTGAAGATGCTTTGCAACTATAATAGGAATAATCACATTTTAGCAATCACAGTTTGAACTGTAATCAGATTCACAGGGAAAATTTTAGTGTAAACTTTGTCATAATGTCATCCATAGTCCAAACCTCAAAATATGGTGAATCGTGAATCTTCACATATTAAGATCATTATAGACAAAGATTATCTGTAATAGAAGAATAATCTCGTATCCGTAATGTCATGCCACAATTGAATCAGCCCAGCTGTATGTAGGTGTTTGGAAGTTATGACTTTAAAAAAACTGGGTGCTTAATTTGCCTCGTGCTCAGAGTCTTTCTGGATCCTTGATGCTAATGTCACCATCAACACTCTTTAATCATAAAGATAGGGATTACTAGAGCTATGAGTGTTCTATGAATCTATGCAGTATTACTTTACGGCTTTTGGGATGCTGCCATGCTGAGAACTATTTAAAGAGGGAGGCAGGGAATTGGGAAGGGGACACATGGAATCCAAGAATTTATGTTTGGTAAATAGTGTAATATTGTTTGTGGATAACATGGTACCTCTAACGTACACAATTCTTCCAAGGTGCTGAATAGCATGATTTTAAAACCAACCAATCAATCAATCAATCAAAGCCTTAATCCCATAAGTGGGGTCGGCTACGTGAACCAAAAGTGATTATTCCGTGTAGTCATCGACAAAAATCTTCCTCCTCCATCCCTTACGATCCAATGCCTTATCCTCATGCAAATCCATATACTTCATATCCTTCCTAATTCCTTCCAACCAAGTCATTTTCGGTCTCCCTCTCCTCGTTTAACCCCTCCATGATCCCACTCTTCCACTCTTCGTACCGGTGCACCCTCGGGTCTCCGTCTTACATGTCCAAACCAACGCAGACGATTTTCCCTTAGTTTGTCTGCAATGACTGCCACCCCTACTTTCTTGCGCATGATTTTAAAACCGAAAGTAGAAAAACGTAGCACCATGAATTTGATCTACTCATTTATCAAGATTCAAGATATACTCAGAAAATTCTAATTTACTGATTTCATATGAATTATATTTACTACTTCCCTTTTAAAAACCGAGAATTCATTCTTGTCTGAAGTTTATTTGTTCAGCTGCTTCAGTGTGAATCATCTTTTTGCTTATTCCGCGAAGGATTATATTAGAGTTGAGCCTTATTCACTCATACCTGGAACTATTGAATTAAAAATTCTGGTATCATGGTTATTGGATGTGGGCTTCTATTATGCTACTTATACAAGTACTAGTTATAATTCTTTCAAAAAAAGTATTAGTTATAATTGAACAACTTGGTTGCTTCCAAGCAGCATCAGTCAAAAAATTAGTGCCCCCACCCCACCCCATTGTCTTCCTTCAGAGGGGTAACTAACCTTCGTTACTGATTTTTCCACCATATACTTCACATATATCTAGCAATTCACAAGCCATCAACAAATTATACAAGCCTTGGCTGACCTCAGTTTAATTTGCCTAAAGTAACTATTTATGTATTACAGGTACTTTCGACATGCTTCTGGAGAGATATTTGCCATATCCCAGGAATTGGCTCAGTTTGTATCAATAAACAGGTTATCCTTGCTGCATCCTTTCCCTTAGTCTTATTCATACATCAAGACATGTTATACACACATTCATGTGTAGCTCTCATTTGTGTGCTAAGGGCTGAGTCAGCTGAAATGAATTTGGAACCTCTGATTGATTTGCAGGTCCATCCTTCGAACCTTTGCCCACGATGACATCAGTGCTGGGTCTTGGTTTATTGGACTGGATGTGAAGCACATTGATGAAGCAAAGCTTTGTTGTTCTTCTTGGTCATCAGGTATATTGTGAATTTTGAACACGCCAAGAAAAGATAGGGATAGGAGTGGAGACTACTCTCCCCTTCTGTGAAATTAACACTGATTGAATGGTTCTGATTTGCAATGTGTATGCCATGTTCTTCTTGTAATGTTCAAATTGGTTTGACCAAGTTGTTTAATACTTTTTGAAATGTCATGTTGGAGTGGGCAAATCAACTGGGGTCAGAAACATTCTGTAATGGCAGCTATCACTGCTGTATGCTATCTGAATAATGTGCTTGTTAGCATGTTATTCTATCTGTTTTAGGATTGTTGAACATGTACTTTCACTTGCACAAACTCCACACCAGAACAGGGAAAAATTCTTTCAGTATTTTGTAATTGGTTGGTTGGGCCCTGTTTGGCAAAACATAGATGTGGGAGTAGTTTATGGCTGTGCGATTAATTGTTAACTGTGAAACAGTGAAAGTAGATAATTAAGTAGGACTGGTCTTGTGAAAATGGACAATTTATCTTTCTATAAAGCTACTTTTATCTATCGAAAGCTAATAGCTTCTGATAAAAGCTATACCTCTGACCTCTGTAAATTATCGCTACCTCCACCACTACATTGCCATTCCCTTAAACACTAAAGACTTCTCCAAAGCTAGTGCCGAAGACACCCTTAATCTGTTTTAAGAAGTTCAATTATTATTTATTTTTTTTATTTATAAATATATATGGATCAAATTTGATTTTTGATCCATGTTTCTATGCTAATGAGCATGATGATCGACATAATTGGAAGAGGATTTTGTTTTCCATTTTCTAAAGAGTCCTTGCAAAGTGAAGGGTTTGTTTGACCTAAGTCTTTGAATTGTTTCAGGTGCTGTATGTGCAGCTGGTTGACTTTACATGGCAAGCATTATGTATCTACACACAGTATAAACTTTCATGGAGACCATTCTTTAGCCTCAGGCCCTCAGCGTAGGCCCTTGGTTGACATTGAGAATATCGCTGCCACTGTAAGTTGATTCTGTCTATATCTTAAGAGCCCGAGACCTTCAGCAGCGACCAGCTCGTGAGTTATGTGTCTTAGACAGGTCACCACAGACCCTGCAACAACATTGATCACAGCTAGGTATACAGGCTGTTGAGGTTACACAAATGGAGGGAAGTAGTCCTTTTCCCTTACTGTGTATCATACAGCAAATTTTGACACATGACACGTACAGAAAGAAAATGCCCCCCCCCCTCCCCCCACCACCCCCCCCCCACCCCCCCCCCCCCAAAAAAAAAAAAAAGATTCATTACAGTGTAATTTGTGCTAAGTGTGGGACTGATAAATCAATCTATTTTTGCTCCATTAGATACATGATCATTTAACTTCTTTTGAGGCTTTTCCTTGTGATGCTCACTTTTTATCTTGCTTAGAACTGTAATTTCTGATCAACTGAGAAGATGTTACTAGTTGATCATAACATACAGTCTATATGCAGAAGAAGATTTTATTAGGTTTTCGATTACTATTAGCCCTGATCCAGAACATATTTGTGCTGGGTAGCTATCACTTTTAAACTGTTTATGAACCACATTCTCAAAATTGGATTACAAGTGTTGCCACCGCCCTTTTGCTTGTGTGCCTAATTTTTTAACTGGTAGGTCAAAATAGAAAAGATTCCAGCATTTGGCTTCAGCAACTCACTCTTCTTATGACTAATTTGTTGAATGGTCTTTTTCAGTATTCTAAGTTTGGTGCATTTGGATTCTGTGGTGCCATTTGCTGATAAGCCAGCTACCAAACTCCTTCTGAGAGTCTATCCTTGGACATGGTTTGTTTTAAGTCATTTTACTTATTTTGGATTTTCTATTTTTGAAAGTAACCCCTCTCTATACGATAAGTCCATTATCACCAAGCTAGTCTTATTGTATTGATAGGCATGTGAAAAATTTTCAGTCACGAGTTGACCTTGCTATCGGGCTTGCCTGTGGTGGCCTATGTGCCAAGAGTGCACAACAAACCAGACCTGGGACATTCTTAAGTTTGCAGTCCAAAGCATGACATGGACTGGCTCGTAACGTCCCTTAAGGGTCCCTTGAACGTTTTATAGATAAAAATTAGTGAGATATCCTTGGTGCCAATATTTGAAAATGTTTTCGTTACTTAGGATACTCTACAATATTCAAAATAGCAACAGGCTGGTGCAGTGGTGCTGCCTGCTCATGCTCAACTCTAGTCTTACTAGGACTCTTAGGAGAAAAATCTGTGTCTACCCCTGCTCTTGAGTTTGGGCTTGTTTTGCCCATTCCCTTCATCCGCATACAGATATTATGGGTTCGTAGAGAATGCCATGCCCTCTTTCGAGCTTACCGATCTAAGGGCTCTCTTGTCCTAAATCATTAGTTAGATCCATTTCATTACCATAAGTTACATACCATAATTTAAATCAAATTATTAAATAGAATCATAATTTGGCAACCAAGGTGCAAAGCGAAGGAAAGAGGAAATGGGGTTGGTTGTTGAGGAATAATTTGCTCCTTCGTAGAAGGAATTTGTAGAAGCGGTGAATGCCGTTTTGCACGATCATGCATGCGTGCAACTGATGTATCTAATTGAATTTGGACTGGTATGGTGATGGAAGCACTATAATTCATTTAATTAAGTTGAAAGCTACATTTTACTTGGGAAATAATCAAATTGAATGTGACATCTTATTAGTTTATTGTCAAGGGGAACGGCTATATGGATTATGGACTAATGTTATTCCATACAAACTTAGTCCAATTACTATTATCAGAAAATGGGAATATTTTTTGTTGATGTGCACTTTCCAAGTATGAAATACATGCTACGGAGTACTCTTTTTTTTTTTTAATTATTCGATTGTTGCATTGAAAGGTTGTTATGTAGTGAATACAAGAGCGCAATTAAGAGTGTGTTCGACATAACAGGTTGTTAGAAGTTAGATATTTCAAATTTAGCTTACCGAACATCGAAGAACGGGTCATGAAGTCGGATCTTTCACCGTACTTCAATTTTTTTTATGTATTAGCTGAAATATTCTCCAAACAAATCTAAAAAAAATGTTCCTATGCTATCAGGATACCTAATTTGACATCCAATAGTTGATTCCAGATTTATCTTAGAAAATTCGTCTCGTCACCCCTAAAAAAGGAAAGAAAATAAAGCACAAAGTGTAGCTTTCAGTGGACAGTGCCCATTTTCATAACATTAAGTTAATCTGACCACAAAAGTAATTTGTGTCTGGTAGTTAAGTCATTACCCTGAGTCACTGCATACGTGTTGTAACTATTAAGCCTAATTATAAAGCATGGATTAGGCTAATCACAATTAGAGTAATTATTTATCTCTCAACTGACCAGTTTCTTCTCAATAGATTTTTGCACCTAAATGGCTAAACTTCTGGAAACTTTGCTATCATCAATATATAAAATAAAATAAATTAACAAATATTGCTAGCATGAATCTTGAGATTTAGCCATTCCATTCTCTTTCAATATGCAAAATTAATACTCGTATTTTAAATTCAACTAGGTTTTTTTTTTTTTCCTCAAATTTAACAAGTTTGGGTGAAACTGTTTTACACTAATTCATTATGTGTCGTTAACATTTTTCAAAAAGAGAAAAATAAAAATAAAAACTCCCTTCATCAAAACAAAAAATGTTTATACGTTCTTAAACATTGTTTACACTTTTATTTTGAGAACGATCCATTTTATATTTACATGTAATTCTCTTCTCCTTGCACTTCTCATCATTTCATTCAATCAAAATAAATATCCTCATCACATCTATTTTTCTGATAAAATAACAATAGATAACGAAATAATCATTTATCAACCCTTATATACCAGTAATATCGTGAGAAGTCGAAAGAGTTATCAGCTTATCACAATGTGTCAATGTTCTAATAACTTACTGTATTTCAACACACAAATAAAAAACAATAACAATCGTAAGTCTACCTCATCTAAGCTATCATCTTTTTATTTAATTGGATTAGATATTTACAAGTAGATTATTCCTTTATTAGATTTGTTGCATCTGGAATTTGGATTGTAAGAGATGCAGTGAATTGTTGATTTGTATGGAATGTTCGATCTCCTTTCTTAAAAAGATTTCTTACTGCATGGTCTAAAATTATTAGATTATCTTTTTATCTCCTTTTTTATTATTTTTTTGAGATATACGTATTTTTCAGTTTTTCTCAATAATATTGGTCCCCTTCTTGTTCTTGTTCCATTGTTGAAGCGCATTTATCGCTGATAATTCTTTTGCAATTATGTAGCACGGGTCTATGCACGACTTATTTTGTCTCATCCTTCTACAAAAAATCCTACTAAGAATTAATAAATGCAAACTAAACAAATATGAAGTACTTCGTAATTTCGTATATAATATAATTCGTAAATAATACAGAGTAATATGAGAGGAAATATATCAATTTAAAATCTACCTCTCTTCCTTTTTATTTTCAACAAAAAGATATTTGAAGTGAGATAAAAAAAAACAATAAAAAAAAGGTATGTAGTTGTTACTCGAATTAATTTTTGTCATTTATTTGAACTTATACGCCTGTAATCCTGTATAAATTATTTATGGGGACTACAAGTACTATTTGCATTTTTTAAAATAAAAATGAAAATAAATATTTGTGGAAGAAAAAAGCCTTTAGACAATTTCAAGGGCCAAAATAATAAATATCAACATGACTTAAGTAGCTGGATGCAACAACATTAGTTATTGAAATCTGTTTTTATCATTTATGTTTATGTCATCAAACCTTAGACCAAAATATAATATGCAACAGACAATTAATAAGTAAAATCAATTACTCAGTAAAATCTAAACCCAGTGATTGCAAATTTGCAATGCATTCTTGCTTAGTTCCAGATCTGCCGACTTCACCTAATAATAGTACGTAACATCTAAACTAACAAACTATATAAGGGACCATTTATGTTTACAGACTTTAGTACGAGTATACATTCTAGGAGACGGTAGTAAAATGGGCCTGACCAATAGTAAGACTAACTACCATAGCACAAAAGACGAGGACAGATGGATCATATATGTACATGTTCAAGTGGATATTTTACGATATTAATACTACGTATTGTTTCTGTTTTTTATTAATTGCAATAAAATTTTAATTTTCTTTTTTAATCTTCTTGAATGTGCAGTACGTGATAGTATACATATACAGTTATGCACTATAACATGTATCGTATTATTTTTAACAACTCTTTGATTTAAGAACTTGATATTTTAGACAATTGAAGGGCGTATCAAATTGCATTCCTGACGTCCACTTTAGCATTGACTACCCTCATCGATCATGAGTAGCCAACAATAGCATTTCTCCCATATTTGACTCTTGTTAAGATGGTATTAATGTGCTAGGTAACCGAGTGGCGGATTGGCTCGCAAATCAAAATGTAATCCAGAACAAAAAATTGAAATTGAGTTGATTAAAGTCCCCCCTAACTCTTGGTAGTATTATGCATGAGGATATTGTAGGTGTGGCTTGGCCACGTTTAGTTCCTCTGTAGTTTGTTTTTAGTTTTGTTTTGTTGGGGCTATGCCTATCTTTTGCATAAAAAAAAATTAAAAAAATAAAAAATATACGGAGAAATATCTTTGAAACTAATACTCAATACTGAGGATTGAATTCTGTTTACATCGGTAAGTTTTTTTTATTGCCTTTCATTCATCCATTCATTCATTTCCCACTAATGACAATTTGGGTGGAGGGGATTTCCTTACCTTCTCCCCCTCCCTCCCCACCCACACACACACCCACTCTCCCAAATTGTCTAGCCTACTAATTCAGACCAAGTTGATCCTTCCGATTCAGTACAACTCTTCATCTTATCTACCCAAAAAGAATAAAAATTTAAAATACAGAGATTTATATTTATGAAAGTACTTGTATACCTTTCAACTAAATATTACTAGGATTAGTAGGATATATGGGTTGAGATGGAATTAAACAAATTTATATAAATACAAGTAAAAAATTAAATAAATAATATCGTAGAATGAAGAAAATAAAGGATGTGTATGAATGTATAATGCATCTTCCCTAGGATTCTCACGCGTATTTTTAGCTTGGTCCTTGGTGCTTTGTGAAGGAATTTACAGGTAAAATGTATCACATGATCCCACCATATGAATCCATATCTACATTTGTAGGATCTTTCACATTTTCTTTCTCACAAATTTCCAATATCAACGGTTTTGGACCTTTGTTAGACTTTTAGCTATTGTGTTATGTGTAGAGACACCAGCACAAATACAAATATATATAGATTATATAGTTTGTACTTTTATTCATAAACCACATATATTTTCTTAAAATACATAAATTTGAA